CTCTGCCTCCATGCCTGAGGTTGCCTGGCCTTCCAAAGAAAGACTGCAGAGTGGGCCTAGGCTGGTGGCAACAACAGACCCTTCCATGGGTCATGAGCAGGGCAACTGAGGTTGAGAGGCAAGGGCTACTTTGTCCCCAACTTGGGAACCATGTCATCAGGCACTCAATGAGAGGAAGGTGGCCCCTACTCCAGAGACAAACCATGCAGTCTCTGCCAGAGGCTTTAACTCTAGCTCCCTCAGGAGGAGCGTGCTGCAGGTTCAGGTAGGGTGCAGCCAGCAGCCCCTCTGCAGCAGCAAATCCAGCTGCACAGAGCCACTGTGACTGGGGTGATAGATCAAAGTCTCCTGTTGGGGGCTGTACCAGTTGAGCCACAGGGCCAAGCACTTTTTCCTGGCCCCAGACAGTAGCTTCCACAGGAGACACACTCTTTATGTCCCAGCTCTGAGCAGCTCTCCGTTTCCTCCCTGCCTTCCCATGCCTCCAGAGCTCAGCAGGGCCAGGCCACTTGGACTTGGGAGGGCAGATCCAAAGAGCCTATAGGAGGAGGGATGGGCACTTTTTCCCCTTTTTGGGATAGCTTGGGTTGAGCTCATAGGGTAGGTAGGAGCGGCTCCTCTGTGATGTAGCCATGCAACCCAGAACTGCCCATCTGGTTCTTGGACAAAAGCCTCTCCAGGAGATGAGTCACCAAAACTACCAGCTCTGCATTGCTCTCATCTGCCTGCACAACTGAACTCAGAAGGGTGGGTCCACAGAGTGGTAGGGCAGGTCAAGTGATTCAACAGGCGAGGGAGCCTTTAGCTATGCGCTCAGGTGGGGAGAATGGTCCCCCTTCCAAAGCTACACAATTCAGTCATTGTCTCAGTCTCCACCAAGAGCTTTTCCAGAAAAAGAGCACCCCAAAAGTCCCTGCTGGGTGCCACCAGGAGACCCCTTTGCAGTACACAAGCAAAACAGAGTAGTGTCACCAGCAGTTGGAGGACCTGGCAGTGCACGCCCCGGGTTGGTGCTGTAACAATAGGAATGCTCGGCCCTGGGAAGGTGGTGTCTGGGTCTCTAGCAGACTCTTTCTCTCCCAGGTGAACCGAATCCCCGCTGATTTTCACCACCAGATGCTATGTGGGTGCCTCTTCCAATCTCTGTTGCTCTGGATGGGGATTCCTGTCTGAGGTTGGGACCCCACACTCCTGGGGGGAGGGAGCTTTGCAGCTGAGTTATCATATCATTCCAGCTTCTCACTTGCTGCGGATGTCTCCTCCCTTATTACCAGTCTCTATGTGGCTGCTTTTGTAAATCCTTCATTATAGTATTTCAGGTCAGTTACCCTTCAGATGGTTATACAGGTTGATTGCTCTATAATTTAGCTGTAAGTCCAGTTTGATGCAGGGAGCAGGTGAGTGTAGCTTCCACTTACTCTGCAGCTATCTTGGAATTCCTTTTATTTTCATTTTGTCTATTGCAGATAACAATAACCATAGAATTTTACATTTAGTATATTTTTTATTCTTTTCAAATTCCTTATATATCCAATGTGTCAACTCCTCGGGAGCTGGGTCTACTACCATTTCTAAACTCCATTGGTAACTTTTACTTTCAGTAACTGATTACAGCACAGCACATTCATTAACATCTCAATGTAGTTTCATATCATGGGTGACTAGGTAGCCATCCAGGGATCAAAGGTTCATCATTCTTCCGCCATCCCTGTATCATTTCTCTTCAAAAGCCATTTTTTTCACGAGCCGGAGTCATTCTAGCACATTTCACTTCACAGACATCAACTAAATTCGGTTCAGAGACCCAATTCCAATGTGTTTGTGGAGGCTTCCCGACACTAACAAGCAATTCTTGGACACCAATTTTTTCAACACTTCTTGAATTGAATGTTTAATGCATGTTTCCAACCTTCTTATTTTTTGACAAATTTAAGTCACTTAATTTCCATTGTGATATCATCTTTCCTCCAAAGGGAATTTAGTAATAGGTTATTTAGTTTCTAAAAAATTTAAAGCTATTCTTTATTATATTATCTAATTTAATCAATTTCTGGTTGGAAGACAGTCTGTATAGTAGTTATCCTTTGGAATATTAGAGCTATAGCTAATATATGTTTTGTTTTTATCCATATTCTATGTATGCTCAAAAAGAATCTGAACTGATGAGTGGAGTTATTTACATATCTAATAGCTTGAGCTGGTTTATTGTATTTAGAAATTTGATAACTATGCCTATTTTTATCTGCTTCAACTATTAATTTCTCAAGAGCTGTGTGTCTAAAATCATCTACATTTGTTGACTTATCAATCTACTCACTTCTGTCAGTTTAAATTTGTCACTTCGTCTTTTAGCTAACAAGATCTGTATTTTAATATGCTCTAATTTCTTTTTAAATTTTTTTATTTTTTTATTTATGAAGATAGAAAGGCTATGGAGAAGAAGTGCTGGCAATTGGACGCAGATTGCAGGGTTTTTTAAATCCTTACATGAGGATACATTTATTGGTTTCAGAGAGAGAGGAAGAGGAAGTGAGAAAGAGAGATACGTTGGTTGCCTCCTATATGCATCCCTACCGGGGATTGAACCCTCAACCTTTTGGTGTATGTGATGGTGCTCCAATCAACTAAGCCACCCTGCCAGGGCTCTGATTTCTCTTTGGTCTCACTCTTATCCCTTCAATCATGCTATTATGTTATTCTCTGTGCCTTAATTTATTCATCTGTATGTAATAAATACTTTTCATAGTTGTTAAATGAGTTAATTCATAACACACTTAGAATAGTACTTGGCACATACTATTATATAAGTGTTGCTTAGTATATAAATGGGTAGAGGTGGTAACTGAAGACATGGGCATGGTTGATATCATTTGATAAAATAACACAGTTGAAAATAGGAGAATCAAGGACTGAGATTTAAGGAACTTTCTTATTTAATGGCTGAGAAGGATAAACCTTTAAAAGACACTGAGGAGTAGACAAAAAAGTAGAAGAAAAACCAAGAAAGCATATTGCCAATGGCATCAAAAGTGAAGGAATACAATTTTCTTTAAAGATATTTATTTTTTAGATAAGAGAACGGAGGGATAAAGAGGGAGAGAAATAGTGATCAGCTGCCTCTGGGAGGCCCCCTAGTGGGAACCTGACATACAACCCAGGCATGTGCCCTGACCAGGAATCAAACCTGTAACTTGCCTGTTCATGCAGCTCAGAACTCAACCCACTGAGCCACACCAGCCAAGGATGAAGGAATAATTAGTAGCGCTGTTGAGGAGAGATTTGAATGAATGTGAGATAAACATTAATTACAACTACTTAATGAGTGGTTTAATGAGTACAGTGGATGCTGCGGTGCATCTCCTTGACCTCCCTTGAGGAATGAAGGTATTATTCTGCCATTTGCTGGAGTGCTGCCAGCAGACATGCCTCAGTTATCAGGCTCCTTGAGCAGTTGCCTTGGCTAAAGAGATGCTGGGTGCCTAAGGTTCTACAACCTCCCTTAGCAAAACCTGCATCCCCACTGGGGAAAGCTTTGAAAGTTCGCTGTTTTAGAAACATGGGATAGGCTAAGGCATTGCTAAGACTTCTCTCTGCCCAATTTTGCCTCCTTTCTTTCCCTACCTCAGATTCTGATTCCTAATAAACATCTTGCATACCAAAGTCCATTGCAAAAGTTTGCTTCCCTGAGAACCCAATCTGTGACAATGAGTGTCATTCATAAGAAGTGGTGAAGGACATGAGGAAAAGCCAGGCGGCAAAAGAAATAAATGAAGGGAAAAACAGAACGAGGAAAAAAAAAAAAAGAGTAACTTGTAATTTTGCTTTCGCAGATAGGATAACCAAAACCAAAACCAAAACAGTATTAAGAGCTCACCACCCCACCTGCTCTTTAGTGTAGGAGATATTTGACTGAACGATACATGCCAATTACATATGCAGCCAGTTTCTATATCGTTGAAATTAACCTTTAACAAGGAACGAAGGCTAGTAAGAAAGTATTACTTTGTTTATGTATCAGGACACAAAGTCCTTTCATCAATATTAGCTCATTAAGGAGTTAAGGTAACGGGTAACGAGCATTTTTAAAAGATCGACATAAACTTCAAAACTGCCTATCTTAAGTCCGTCTCCTAAACTTAAATAGCTATCAGTTTACATAGGTACAGTTTGTATCTAATAAACCGGATCTTTAAACCACTCATACCACAACTTCCTTCTAGCTCCAGCTGAACTACAACTTCTACCCCTTAAGTTGGAGACTGAATCCGTTTCTTGGGTAAGTGACTGAATGGTAGGAATTAAGAGACTCCTGAAAAACTCTCCCCTGGAGATCCAAATAAAGACGCCAAAAAAACCCCAAAACCCTAAAAAATAAAAACTATATGGGAAACGAAACTTTTAGAGAATGAATAAATTAACTATACGAGAAAAATAATAATTTAGATCAAGGCATGAGCATGGGGTGGAGAAAGGTTAAGTCTAGACGCAAAGCTTCAGGAAGGAGGAAATAGTCGAGAAATTCACATGAAGTAGCAATAATTCGGCGCTGACTGCAGGTAGGCGTCTAAAACTGCCTCACGCCACAAGTGCATGACGATTCTAATAGCCTTCCGCCGTCTGGCGGGGGAGGAAATATTACCCTAGCGGCGAACACAAAGGCAGAAAATTTACAACTGACCCCGGAAACATTTTATTTTGCGTAGGTAACTGGAGAAGTTTCTCTGGCGATTCATTCCTTGATCCGGAAGAAGAGATAGCAAACACCACTTGTGATTGGATTACGTCATAAAGGCGGGGCCCTATCGAGCCAGTCACCTTGACAGCCGGATGTGACGATCCCTGAGGCCCCTGGCTGCACTTTGCTAGGGCCGGCGGTTTCAGTGGGCGCGGTCTTCACCAAAGACCCCGCACTGCGGGGGGCGGTGCCACTAAGGCCACGCCTCCCGCGCCGACTCCGGGAAGCTCTGGAGAGACGTCGTAGGCTTTGGGGGGCGGAGACTTGAGCCGATTCTCTCAGAGCCCAGGGCTCGGCCAGCGTCTTCAGCGGGGTCCCATTTTTCCGGTTTCCGGCGGCTGCGCCGCTTGTCTCCGAAGCTTGGAGTTACGCCCTCTGGAGAGCTCGCTAGCGCCCTCCGTTCAGCTCCGAACCCCCTCAAGAGTTCCTCCGGGGCAACTTCAGCCCAACATTTCCTCGCTCCGATTCTTGCCCCTTGGAGGACCCCGGTCCCACACTGTCCACTTTCTTGGATGTGCTGACCCCTCCCACCCCTCTAAAATGTCCAATAACCTGCAGGGAGTCTTCTTGAAAGCCGCTGAGGAAAAGTCAGGCAACGCCTCGCACTGGTAAGTACAGGTTTCCGATCTCCTTCGACACATCCGCCTCTCGCCCGTCTCTTAGCAGGATGTCGAGTCGGCCGTCGTTTCCTGTCATTCCGCAATTCAGATGAGTTTGCGCCCCACAGGGTGAGCCGTTCCGGGGAAGTGCTCTTCACTTTGGCAGTTAGAGCCCTTAGAACGCGTCCCTCTCGGAAATGTAAAACCTCCTCAGAGCCTAACGCAGTCAGCCTGTGCCCTGGCCCAGCGTCTCCAATTTCATAGGCGGACCGAATAGATCTCCATGGGAGAGGAAAATCAACATGGCCGACGCTCCTGTGTGACCAAAACCTTCTGGAAGGTTCTTGCGCCCTCGCAGGATAACAAGCAGCGATCTGCGCGGAATAGCCATTACCACCCAGGTGGCGCTGGACCTTCAGTGAAATTAGCCATACCTTAAGAGTGAGGAGAGGATATATCTTTCTGTCATTAATGAGAGTATATGAATTTAGAAACCGAAAAATTGTTCTAGAGTAAGGGAACCGATTATTTTAAAATGTGGAAAACAGCTTTATATTGAGAAAGGAAAGTGAAAAAAACACATTTTCGTGTAAAAGCAATCGGTTGGAACAGCGTTTTGAGATAGGGATAGTGCGAATGCCATCGCTAACTGGTTATCGATGTAAAAGAACTTTAGTTGATATGGGGAGATTCCAGTTATTAAAGACAAACTTACTTGTAAATTTAGAAAATTGTTTATCACTAACTGAGTAGTTTTTTGTTGTTGTTTTGAAGCTTCTATTAATCGACAAATGAAACGGGAACAAAATGAAACGGGAAACTCGCCGGTAGAGTATTCTAAGTTCACGCTATGGTTAGTGGATGTATAATAAGTGGTGAGAAAAAAAAAATAATGGGTTAAAAAAGTTAATGCAGAAGGAAAATGTGAAGAAGAAAGCATGGAAGTTAAGCTGTAAAACTCACGGAAGAGGATTCATGAAGAAAAACTGCCAAGGTTTGATCCTAGCTTCATGAGGCTTAAGTACCTCAGTTTTCATCCTGAAAATAAGGCCACCTAGAGATATTTTAAAGATTAAAACAGTGAATATATGTAAAATAATTAGGAAAAATAGAAAAGCACTGTTTAAACGTTGTTGTTGTGAGGCTACAACTTTACTTGTGTACAAATTGTGGCCCCAAAAGTAGGGTTTCCTTAATTATAAGTAGATTCAAAACCGAATTGTGATACGGACTTTAAGAAAGCGTGCATGATATTCTGAAATGAGATGGTCATTAAACACGGTGAGCTGAAACAGGATGATATTGAAGAACTGACAAGAAAGAACTATTTTATTTCAAATCATCAAAAGAGCCAGCTTTTGTGTATATATGTTGCTTGTTGGATTAATTTTGGTGGAAGTTGGGAGAGGCAGAGAGTGCTCTGTGTGGCTGTGCAAAAGTAGGATTATTTTTTAATGACTGTTTATTTCTTCTGCGTTGTTTTAGTACCTGGATGATGATGATACCTGACTTACCCTAACTTAATTTGTTTCAGGATTGCATTTGTTATTAATAATAGGAAATAAGATAGAATAAGAACTTTACATTTTTACTTATTGTGTAGTTCAACTTTTTTATCCAGTTTCTAAACCTTTGGCTAACTGTATTTGGCATTTTTAAAAACATTACAGATTGAATTATGTTTTGCTTACATTCATAAGTAATTCGGAGTTTATTAACTCACTGATTTATGCAGTTTTTCATCATCTTCCAATTCATTTATTTCTTCAAACCACGTACTTTGGTTATTGGTTGTTCATTAGATTCTGTTTTGTTTTGTAAGTAACAATCTGCATGATGTCCAAGCAGAATTTTTGTAAGTCTTTATTGGAAACTGAGTTTTCTTATTTTCCTGAAAATATTTTCGATGGTACTAAATCATTTTTTTTATAAACCTAAAATGATTATATGGGGTTTTTTTTGTTCTCTATAGATACTTACATTTTTTTGAGTTAGTTTATTTAGATTCAGGCCCCATTAGCAAAGAGCAAAGCAGGAATCAGAATGGTATGGTGGAAAGAAGGTAAGCTGTGTAGTTCAAGAGATCTAGATTTTTATCCGAGTTCACCATTTACTGTCAGTATGGTTCAACCATTTGGTTATAAAAACATTCAGTGAGTACCTGCTTTGTAATAGACTGCACTAAATGGAAAGACCAACTAAAGAATAAGATACGGACCATGCCATGAAGAATGTTACAGTCTAGAGAGGAGATGATGTGTTACATCTTTTAATAGCATTGTGCACAGGATGCTGTGAAAGCATAAAGAGGAATTGTAGGAAAGGTTTCTGGAGCAGCTGAGTTGGGGAATGCAAGTATTAGCTTTTCAATTGAAGGTGAATGCAGGCTATGCCCAGGCAGAGGGAATTGGTAAAATAAAGCACCAATATGGCTTATTACTAACAACTGGTATTTATTGTTTGATTCTATATTACAAGCAGAATAGACAGAACCTAAGGTTTTGGTTTGCCCTGCTGAAGAGATTAGACTTTATCTATCAGACATCAGAGGATTTAAGAAAAGGGCTGTCATGGTCACCTGTGCATTTTAGATAACTAATGGCAGTGTGGATTTGGGGGTGAGGCATCAGGCATATAAAGATTCTATTTCGGTTGTCCTTTCAGAGATGCTTAGAGCTTGAACTACCTGATATAAAGTAAGGGTTGAATTCAGAGAAGTATAGAAAGGAAAATAGGCAGACTTTGTTGGTGAATTGTCATGAAGAAAAGAGGGTCAACCCTGACTGCTGTGGCTCAGTTGGAGCGTGGTCCCATAACTAAAAGATTGCAGGTTCAGTTCCTGGTCAGAGCACATACCTAGGTTGCCGTTAGATCCCCGGTCCTGTGCCTTCTATCCCCCTTCCTGTTCTGGACCTGTACATGAAGCAACTGATCGTTGTGCCTCTCTCACATCGTTGTTTATTTCCATTCCTCTCTCCCTTCCTCTTTCTCTAAAAGGCAATGAAAAAATGTCGTTGGGCGAGGATAAAAAAAAAAGTTTTAAAGAAAAGAGGATCAATTATGATGCCGATTTTCTGGGTAGGTGTTGGTAAATTAAGATGAAGAACACACTAAGAAAGCCATCTAAAAGATACTTGAATCTGAAACTTGGTCTCAGTGCTGAAAATAGCAGTTCATGAATCATTAGCTTAGAGGTATTACAATAAAAGCCTATGATAATACATCACAGTAATAGGAATTAGGATGTTAAATGATTGTCATTTGGCTTTTATCCACCCTTAACCCTTTGTTCTTAAAAATTGAGTAGTTAAAATGAGCAGGGGACTTGCTTTGGTTAGATAATGTTCCATTGTTAGTTCAGTGTGTATTTAATTTTATACAGGGTAGATGTTATGTTTACTTTTGGTGTGTGAGTGAGTGTGTCAGGCTAACTGAATCTATTTTTCATTAATCTCTCAGTTTATGCAATTGAATTTTTTGGACCCTGGTATGTTGGGGTATGCTAAAGTAAACAAGAAAATGGATGGGATTGCCCAAGAGAACATATAATTCTGAGTAAGTTATTTAATATTACTAAACTACTTTCTCAGCTATGAAATAGAAATGGCAATACCCGCCTGCTGGGCTGTTTATTAGGACTAGATTATTGACAAGTATTTATTATAATATCTATTATACATAGTATTACATAGAATATTATATGGTATATATAATGTTATGTGGTATATATATTATGTAATATACATAAGTACCTAATGTTAAATCATAGATAGTAAATGGAAAAAGGTCTCCTAGCAGTTGAAAATATATTTTGCAAAAAATCTACAAAATGTTCATTAGCCTGCAAAATTTTTATTATTTCATTTCTAATGTGTGCATGCTTCATGTCAATATTAGAATAGTAAAAAATGTCAGTTATAAATATGTTTAATATTCCTTTTATTAAAATTCTTATATATTTTTATTAAAGTGCTCACATTTTCAAAAGACTACCTGATGAATTTGCTTATTCTTGGACACCAATTGAATATTTTATTGAAAAATGATAACTAGCATATATTGAGTGCTTATCATAACCCCAGTCAGTTCCTTCATTTAGTTCTCATATCAAACCTATTGTCCCCATTTTACAAATGAAGAAACAGAATTTCAAAGAGGTTAAGTAAATTTACCAGAGTCAATCAACTGATAATTAGAAGAGCTGAGATTAGAATAAATATATTTCTATTTTCTCTTTTATAGTCTTAAACTGTATTATTTTTCCAATGTATTTTCTCAGTTCAAACTCTAGATGGTTTAAGGTAATTAGCATGTTTATGAGTCTTTTTACGTGACTAAACCAGAGCGTGGGATGCTAAACCTGATTGTAGTTTTAGTTCTGACATTAGCTAGCAGAATATGATCTTTAAGAAAACAGAATCAGCCCTGTGTGACTCAGTTGATTGGGTGTCATCCTGCAAACTGAAGGATTGTGGGTTCGATTCCCAGTCAGGGCACATGCCTGGGTTGTGGGCCTGGTCCCTCAACTGTGCGAGTGTGAGAGGCAGCTGATTGATGTTTCTCTCTCACATCGATGTTTTTCTTCCTCTCTTTCTTCCTCCCTCCTCCTCTCTCTAAAAATAAATAAATAAAAATCTTAAAGAAAAACAGATCTTTATAGGGTTTTTATTCCTTAAATGGAAGATCTTTTCCAGATCTGGAAAAAAATATATATTGATTGAAGAATTTGTCCTGATTTATCATCTCTCTCCCTAGCATTCTGCATTTCAGTTTTATTTTTAGAGCTCATTCTATTTGTTACTAGGAAATTACGGGTTTTTTAATTATAGCTTGTAGAATTCAATTCAGCTGACATTGTCTACAATGTACCCGTTGCTATATAAGGTGTAGAGAATGTAGATATGAACAGGATAATCTTACCTTTAAGGAACTTAAGGTCTCTGGTAGATTATGTGAATCTCTGCTGATACACTGACATAGACAAAGCTGTATTTTCCTTTCCTTTTTGGAGGGGATTAGAGGAGAAGAGAGGGGGATAAAAATCAATTGATTAGATCTGAAAATAGATTTTCTTAGGTCATCTTATGCTCGCACAAAGACTTTCAGATCTTTATGATTCTTCTCAGATCACTCCCTGTTTTTGCTCTTATTCTTAGAAGGTGATGTCCTGTCCATTTTCATAGAGAGTAAAAGCCATTACTTTAGAATTACCTGAACCTTCTGACACCAAAGCTATAAACTTACCTGCAAATGCACCTAACCTCTCTTCTAGTTCCAATGGAAGTAGCTCTCTTTTTCCAGCTCTCTTTCTCCACTTTCTCCAGCTCTCTTTAAGATTCATTCCTTCCAACCTCTCTTATTCCACTTCTTTTATTACCAGCCTCTTCCTCTTGATGTCTCAAGCCTTTATACCTGCTCTCGTTCATCATTTCTAAGTTTAGAAAAAGAAGAAAGACTTCTTAGACCCTGTTTTAGCCTCCAGCTGGCTGCTTGCCAGTCTTTTTCTTCCCCTTACAGTTAAAGTTCGTAAGAGAGCTGTCTATACTTGCTATCTTCACATCCTTTCTTCACATTCACACCTCAGCAAGGTGTCTCCCAACCAGACTGCTCTTTTAAAGCCATTGATGACACATACTGTTTATTCCAGTGTACATTTTTAATCTGTAACTTGGCCTCAGAAACTTTTAATAGAATCACCCAATTTTCTTGAAACTCTCACTTCCTTTAGCTTCCATTACATCAAAATTTCTTGTTTTCTTTTTACTGCTCAAAATGAAAAGCCATTAAAATGTTTTGAGCAGGGAAGGGCCAGCTATGGTGTGACGATTTGAAGGGGAGAGTATATGACTGACGAAAAGCAGTTATGAGCCCCAGCTGGTGTGGCTCAGTGAATTGAGTGCTGGCCTGCGAACGTAAGGGACACCGGTTCAAGTCCCAATCAGGGCACATGCCTTGGATGCAGGTCAGGTCCCTGGTAGGGGGGCGCCCAAGAGGCAACCATACGTTGATGTTTCTTTCCTTCTCTTTCTCCCTTCCTCCCCCTCTCTAAAAATAAATAAAATCTTTAAAAAGAAAAAAAGACCAGTTATGAAGGTGCTATAATAGCCTAAGCCAGAGATGTTTACTTGGACTGGAGTGAATATAGTTAATTTGAAAACAATTGAATAGATCAAGGGAGATACAGGAGATAATAGCAACAGGATTTTGTTACTGAAAGTAGATTGTAAGAAAGCAGGAATTAATTGTCCTGGCATAGATATTTAAGATAAATGGATGCCATTTACCAAAAAGGGGGAAAACACTGGAAAAGGTCATGTTGAGTTTTAGGTGCATTTGAGATTTTTGAATGGAAATGTGTTGAGGGAAGTTAGATATATAAGCCTGAATCTTAAAAGAGCTGAGATATAAATATTTGAATTGTGATACATAAATGGTAGTTTAACTGAAGTCATGCATGTAAAAGAAGTCATCTACAGAAAGCTTACAGAGTAGAAAGAGGAGAGATCAATCTAAGCTTTGGTGAATTTCAGTATTTAAAGGTTGATTGACATAGGGTGAGTTGGCAAAGAAGATGGAGTCACTCCAGAGGTAGGTGAGTGTTGTATCTAGGAAGTATTGGGAAGAGAGTGTTTGAAGAAAAGGCACAGCAGACATCTTTGTACTCAACCAGATACATCATTTATCTCAACTCAGTTATTTGATTTTAGGGATTGTGGGTTGAACTAGGTTGGAGACAAGCAAACATGTTCTGTAAAGAGCCAGATAGTAAATATTTTAGGCTTTGCAGGCTGTATGATCTCAGCTATGACTACTACTTTCATGGTAGCATGAAAGCAGCCATATATGGTACATGAAAAAAAATGAGTGCAGTTGTGTACTAATAAAACTTTATGGTTACTGAAATTTGAATCTCATGTAATTTTCACATCACAAAATATTATTTAAATTATAAAAACCATTCTTAGCTTGCATAGTGCACAAGAACAGAGAGGAGGCCAGATTTGGTCCACAGGCTCTCTACTGACCTTTTCCCTATAAGTGAGCCTGGTGTCTGAACCATAACAGACACAAAGTTCTGATTCAGTTCTTATGGCTTTTTGGGGGGTGGGGAGGTGATGAAGTGAATTTTCCTCCTCAAGCTCTGAAAGCAAGGATTCATACTTTTCTTTATGTTCATGCTTCCCATTAGACATTAACTTTTCATTTACTAAAAGTAAATACAACATATTGAGCCAATATCAAGTGGCCAGAAAGCTGTTTTAAATATAAGGTGTAGTTACATATTTTTGGGTTGCAGGAGGGTAAGACTGAGCTCCAATGCTTCCTAGAATGCATAGAATTTTTAGCTTTGATTTTTATTAATACCTGAGGTTTAAAAAACAGCTACATTCCATGAAACACACTTGACAATTTTAATTTTTTTGTCCTTAAAATTTTTTCTTCATTTGCTCTTAGTCATATAAGGGCATACTGGTATTATATGCCATGTACTCTGCGCTCATGTTGCTAGAATTGAGCATGAGAGACAGTTTAGACAAGTGAACAAACAGATCAATTAATACATGGTGATAACTTGTGATATATACTATGAAGGAAATAAACAGGTGTAATATTTTGAACTATGAAGGAGCAGAAAGGATAGTTAAGGTGGTCATGTACTTGGGAGGTATCGTTTATGCTGAGGCTTGAAGTTAATGTGGGTGGGAGAGGAGTACCTAGGTAGTGAAATAGCATGTGTGATGGCCTTGAGTTCCATGAGGTGTTGGTATTTTTCGGGAACTGAAAGGTAGTTTTAGGTATAAATAACTTGAGGTGCCTTCATTCAAGAAGTCTACAAATAATTGATTATGCAGATTGGTATGGGATTTTTTAAAAATCAGGCAGTCTGTACTAATAGCTTATAAATATCCAGATCAAAATTGGCTAGATTTAAAAAATAATTACTAAGAAATAAATAATAAATTACTGATTTTCAGTGTGTTCCATGTTCACTGAAAACCATTCAGCTGAAATGACATTGCAGTTGTATCTATGGATTGACCGGCAATCAGAACTAGTATGCGTAATTGCCATACCAAGGGCTCTTTAGCACCAAACTTCACATGTGCTGAGACAATCAATAAAACAAAGAAGAAAATGGTTTCTACATGAGTAACTCAATTGAGTCTCTACAAATAAGGCACGTTAAGGTATCACCGTAAGTGATGCCTTAGCAGAAGCAGAATGGCTAACACTGGAGCTTGTGTCGTTGTCAGTGGGAAGAACAGATGGGGGTGGGCTGGAAGAGTGAGGGAAATAGAATAAGCATAAATATAGGTGAGATGAGAAACCTGGTCAGTAAAAGTAAGAGGAGGAGGACAAGAGGAAAGAGGACAAGAGGAAGAGAGAGGATGCTAATAGTTTTAAGAGGAGCATATTCTGGTAGACATAATTTTATACAGAATAAAACATTGGAAAGCTCTACTTACAGTTTTAGGTATAAATGTTTCTCCCTCATACATACTGCCTAACAATGTGAGACCTAAAAGCTGAGCATATCTTTGATTATTTCTTCAAAATCTTTGTTTTGTAATATTTCACTTTGAAAAATCAAAGTGACAAACAATATACTTTTATTATATTTTATATATATTTAAAATATTTGCAAATATTTGCTTTTAAATAAAATGTATGTACCATGTAGTACGTTGTATTTATTTACTCATGTTCTTTTAAGTGTTTCAGGCTGCATGTACCAAGTAGTTCAGACGGTTGGCTCGGATGGAAAAAATCTTCTGCAATTACTTCCAATTCCTAATTTCTCTGGAAATCTTATACCACTAGTTCAATCTTCAGTTATGTCTGATGCTTTGAAAGGGAATACAGGAAGCCCAGTTCAAGTTACTTTTCAGACTCAGATTTCCAGCTCCTCCACAAGTGCATCATCACCTCAATTGCCCATTTTTCAGCCAGCCAGTTCTTCAAACTATCTATTTACAAGACCAGTAGATACAGCAGAAAAAGTTAGAGTCACTTCTGTGAGAACTGAAAGTTTTACCTCACCAGTTTCTAAAGTTCAGAGTCATGGTGTGAAAATTGATGGACTCACCATGCAAACATTGGCTGTTTCTTCCTCCTCAACACAAAATGATTCATCTTACATTTTAGTAAGTCCTCAGAGTCTTCCAATGACTGTGAAATCTCCAGTTTTGCCTTCTGGGCATCATTTACAGATTCCAGCGCATGCTGAAGTGAAATCTGTACCAGCGTCGTCATTGCCTCCTTCAGTTCAGCAAAAGATACTTGCAGCTGCAACCACAAGCACCTCAGGAACAGTTGAGGCCTCCCAAATACCATCTGTTATTTACGTATCTCCTGTAAAAACAGTGAAAAATGTAGTTACCAAGAACTTTCAACACATTTATCCAAAACCTGTTACAGAAATAGCAAGGCCAGTGATACTAAATACCACACAAATTCCAGTGAATGTTGCTAAAGAGACACAATTAAAAGGTGGTCAGCATTCTCAAGCTGCTCCAGTGAAATGGATTTTTCAAGAAAATCTACAGCCTTGTACTCCATCTCTTGTTCCTGTTAAGTCTTCAAATAATGTGGCTTCACAGATTTTAAAAAGTTTTGTAGAAAAGAAAAGTTTGGGAGATAATACTATAAATGTGCCACCATTGAGTACCATCAGTCATAGTGGGACACAGTCCAAAAGTATGCCTATTAAGGATAATGCTTTGGTTATGTTTAATGGGAAAATCTATCTGTTGGCTATAAAGGGGACAGATGTTTTGCCATCACAAATTGATCAACAGAATTCTGTTTCTCCTGATATTCCGCCAAGAAAAGATGTATCACAGATAGTGAGTTCAAGTCCAGTCTCAGAAATATCCAGAGAGGTTGTAAATTTTGTTTTGGCTAAAAATAAATCTTCCCAGATGGAGACAAAATCACTTTCAAATACCCAGCTTGCTTCCATGGCCAATCTAAGGGCAGAGAAGAATAAAAAAGTGGAGACAACATCTCTTTCTATCCTAAACCCACATAATCTGAACCCATCCATTAACTACTTAAAACAGAGTAAGACTTTATTCATAAAGGCAGACTTTCCACATGGATTTAGTACAGGACAAAATGCCCCCCCAAAAGAAAATATCATCCAGAGCATAGAGAAAATAAGTTCCTCTGTTGATGCAACAAGTATTACTTCACAACAGTGTGTTATCAGAGACCAAGAACCAAAGGTAATTTTCCCATGTTAGGGTGTTCTTTTTATCTATATAGAAATTTTCTTTTTTAATTCTCAAAGTTATCTACAATACTTTTCTCCCCTCCTTTCCCATCCTCCATCACACACATACCATGTACACATGAATGCTTAATTAAGTCAAAGCTTTTATCTGAAGGAAGTGTTTGAAGAGTATAATTGAGAGAGTCCAAGTGGTGTCTTTGTCTTGAATCATTTAGCATGCCAAGTCTTTAAAACAAATCAAAGAAAAAAATCACAGAGCAACAGGGTTTAGAAGAGTTGGAGAAGGATAATGTGAATTAAAAGCTTTGTAAAATTGTGTGTATACACATATATTTGTGCACACATATATATGTATACATATATATTTAATAGCCTACTTTTAGTATGTGATGAGATCAATATTACGCATATAGGAGAGCTGGAGGGTTTTATTTGTTTTGTGGTGGTATATAACTATCTGGTAATTTTTTTAGGTAGATGATGGAAGGGGTATGGAGGACAGGGCCAGTGAGTACCTCTCAAGTCATTTGTGGAAACAGTATTTATCAACATCTTTGGTTAGATTTTTTTTCTATTTTAGTAGACAAGTTCTTCCCCGCCCCCTCCCCCGCTATTTTAGCCCTTCTTCTGACTCCTCATCCAATTATACAACATATCCACATAGGAACCTTCCTATTCTACTTAAGATAATGTGTTTCTGTGCTAAGTATTTGTACCCACCTTTTCCTTACTTAGAGGTCTGCTTAATAATGTCAGTATTTATCCCCTTTCAGTACAGAATTTATTCAACTCCAGAGATAAAAGGAGGTAAATTCTGATTATACCACTGGTTAAAGGCATGAGACTCTTTCAGAAGACTAAAACTTTTAATATCATAGATCATTTTTAACTTGGTATTAGTCTGTATTCTTATTTTCGTTGTTTGAGAATTGAGTACCTGTTACCTTTCTAGTGCAAGAAAGTAAAACAAATGAGGAATTGCATGGGAAAATTTTAAGTATACTCAGTTCAGTTTTTCGAGTGTGGGTACTAAGGCAAGGGTAATGCAAACCAACCATGTAGGACTTCAAAGCATGCTTGAAGTAAAATGAGATAATCACTTAGTTAACCAGTCTGATAAAATGGCTTAAGTAATGGGCAGTATTGTTTGTGTGTTTTCTTTTCCTAATCCAGATCCAGAATGAGATGGCATCAACGTTAGAAAAAGTTACTCAAGAAAAAAATGATAAGAAAAATTCTCAAGGAAGAAACAATAAAGCGTATCTGAAGACTGATGCTGAATTGAAAAAGCTATTTGGTCTCACTAAAGATTTGAGAGTATGCCTTACTCGGATTACTGACCATTTGGGTACTGGAGAAGGTTTTGATTCCTTTAGGAGTTTGGTGAAGAGTGACAGAGAGACAAAGTTTACAGGGAAAGAGGAAGAGAGGAAACAGGTAATAGATTTTGATATGTTCTTTGTAGGTACTCCAAAGAGACTGGAATGTATTAATTTTTGTGTTTTTTTAAAGAAATTACTGATCTTTTTTAGAGGGAGAGAAACATTGATTTATTTCACTTGTTTATGCATTCACTGGTTGATTATTGTATGTGCCCTGACCGGGAATGGACCAGGCAGTCTTGGAGTATGGGGAGGACATGCTAACCAACTGAGTTAGACCACTAGTCTCACGTCTTAATATAATAGTTAACCAACTTTGCATATATATGTATTATGCCAAAATAGTGCCAAAAAGAGGTATATATGCATAGGTAAAAATGCATCCCTGGTTAGTTAATGATGGTGTTTTTATTTATCTACTGTTTATTTTTTGTCATAAAATTACAAGAAAATGGTCAGGTTTTTAATTTGTTATACTACTTTGAAGATTCTATCTAAAATAAATAGTCTGCCCCGGCTGGTGTGGCTTAGTTGGTTGGAATGTAGTCCTGTAAGCCAAAACGTTTGCAGGTTTGATCCCTGGTCCAGGTACGTACGGGTGCATACAGGAGGGAACCAATCAATGTTTCTCTCCCTTTCTCTAAAAGCAATTAAAGTCTTTGGCTGAGGATAAATAAAATAAAATCTTAAGTAGAACCATGCAGATGTTCACAGTAGTATCACCAACATCTTAAGAAATCTGCATGATCGGTAATGGTGAAAACAAACATCCCAGTAATTTTGCCTATTGTCAGTCTACTTATGTTATTGTTACATTGTTTAATATCCTGAACTTCAGATTAGAGGTCAGTCTTTCCCAATGAAAATCTTTAGTATGTGGCTACCATGCAAAGGAAAAAATTTAAAACAATTCTAATACTCAGGTTCTTTGCAAATGGCTGTTATATTTTGGTGGTACATCAGTTCAGATTCTAGTACTTAAGCAGGGAAATGAATTAAGCAGTTTATTCTCAGTGAAAATCGTTACGGCATTGCTGGGTTTTTGGGGTGTTTTTTTTGTACCATAAATATTAATCTTTTGCTGTAGTTCTCAATGTATTTTGTAGAGTTGAATTTAATTGCTAAATATTTGTACCTGCAAACTTGTTAAATTTCAGAGCACATTCTATATGTGGCACTAATACTTTGCTTTTCTGTTGGAATCATACTCAACATTGCAACAGGGTTTTGATAAGAAAAGAAAAGCAAAAACTGTTAAGAAGATGGATCACACAAAGAAGAGAAAAACTGAGAGTGCTTATACAGCTGTAAATGGAGGAACTAATGTCACTAGTTCCCAACTCATTAGTTGTATTTTACCAGCTTCGGATGTATCACACCATAACGTTGTCACAAGCTGCAATAAAACCAGGGAAGAAAAGAGAACTGCAGTAGAACACTGTACACGTGAGAACCAGGAAAAAGATTCATTGAGTCCAAATGCAGATTTTGAACAAAGCCATTCCTTTAATAAAAATTATACTGAAGATATTTTTCCCATGACACCACCAGAGTTAGAAGAAACCATTCGAGATGAAAAAATAAGAAGACTTAAGCAGATGCTGAGAGAGAAAGAAGCAGCCCTTGAAGAAATGCGCAAGAAGATGCACCAAAAATAAAATGTTGCTGTACTTAAAGACTTCAATGAATTAGCTCTCTGTTTACCATATACTTTTGAATTAAGTTAACTGTAGATGCATTCTGAAAGTGTCTTTGAATATGAAATTTGTTTTTTCATCAGTTTATTATAAAATGTTATTTAAGGAATGCAGAAAAGGTTGATTCACATATAAATCTTTGGTATAATCTACATGGGATATCTAAATCTTTGTTTAACCTTTTTTTGGAAGGAAAAGTAGTCTAATTTTTGTTATCTTTAACTAGAATTCCCCAAGTTTGAATATTTAGGCAGGATTTTTGTTATTGTTTGTATCTTTTTTAAATTATTTTTTTTTTTATTTTTATCCTCACCTGAGGATATTTTTTGTATTGATTTTAGAAAGGAAGGGGGGTTGGGGAGAGATACATTAATCAGTTGCTTCCAGTATGTGCCTGGTCCAGGGATAGAGCACACAGTCTGGATATATGCTCTGACCAGGGATTGAACCTGCAACCCTTTGGTGTATGGGACAGTGCTCCAACTAGCTGAGTCAACCAACCAGAGCTGTTGTTTATATCTTTAGCTAAATTGCTCAGGTATTATTCCAATAAAAGATAATTATTATATGCCATTGAAATTATTTAAGAATTCAGCTCTAAACTTAGCTTTGTTGGGCTTGTATATATACTCAGTCTCTTTACCCATGAAGTGATACCTTCTGCTCACCATTGTAATTTTTTTAAAATTTCATAAAAAAAATATTAAGCAGCATTATTTAAAAATTTAAACATTTCTCAAGATTGAGGGACAATTGTTTTGTAACTTTTACATGATAGTTTCATATAATCCAAAATGAGTTTTAGAATTCAGGCTATATAATGTATTGTTTGCCTAACGTGATATGTTACCGCCTCTAGGGAAATGCTTTTTTTATGACTATGGACATATGTGACTTGGACTGTGTGAAAAATAAATGTGAACAATGGCCACATTTAATACCTTTTAAAAATATAAAATGTGGTTTTTCTTAAAAGAGACAAACAGTTTTCTGTCTGGTTATCTTTGATTTGGAGAGTTTGGAAGTGGTGGAGAGAGAATGATGAAGGGGAAGGAAGAAAAGGTTATTTAAAAAGATGATTAACAAATCCCTGGAAGGAAAGTCAAATAAAACCTGTACATTGACAACAAAATAGAAAAAAGCAAATACCAAGAAGGAGAACAAATACAAACTGATCATCAACTAGATTCTCCTACTTTTTCTTTTTTGTAACAGCTTTATTGAGATAACTCATGTACCATAAAATTACTCTTTTAAAGTGTACGATTCAGTGGCTTTTATTGCATTCAGTTTGCAACATCAACATCTGATTTTAGAACATTTTCATCACCCCAGCTCCAAACCTTATACGAATTAGCAGTCACTCCCCAGAGCCGCCTTCTCGCAGCCTTAGCAACTACTAATACACATTCTTGTCTCTATAAATTTGCCTCTTGTGGACATTCATATGCATGCAGTGAATCATTAAAAATATTTAGTGACTAGTTTGTTTCCTTCACTTAGCTAATGTCAAGGCTTATCCATGCTCTAGCATGTTTTAGTACTTTTTTATTTTTTAATTGCTGAGTAATACTCCATTGCATGGATATATAGCGCACTTTATTTATTTATGGGCATTTGGGTTGTTTTACACTTCTGACCACTAGGTGTTATGTTGCTATGAATGTTTGGGTACAAGTTTTTGTGTGGACATATGTTTTCAGTTCTCTTGAGTATCTACCTAAGAGTGTAATTGCTAGGTCATATCCTAACTTTTTGTTGAACATTTGAGGAACTGCCAAATTATGCCAGTCAGGTTGTATTCCTACTATTCGATCAAAATGGATTTTGTCAAGGACAGCAGTTTCCTGCACGTAGCTAGATCCAGTGATCAGTTGTCAGCCTTCATTTATCTGAATTTATTCATCAGTAGGAATATAGTTTCATGAATTATAACCTCCTTTGAAAACCTTCAAATGTTTTATTATTAAAGAAGCAGTACAGGTATGTTACAGAAAATTAGAAAATACAGCAAGCTAAAATGCTAAATCAAAACTTTATATTCCCATTAAGCTAAAATATTAAGATATAACTGTTGGGGCCAGGGATACATAATTAAAGACTATCAGTAAATATTTACATTTAAAGTCATAGGTTTGGATAACATTACTTAGTATACACAAAACCGTGGGCTCATGTCAGGACATCTAAAAATTGGAAAAATGAATTTTGAGGATCGGAAGAAAATACTAAGTGAGTTGTATTGACAAATTGTTGAATAGTCCTTACTTAATAGGTCAGTGTTTGTTAAATCAACTAAAATTATCCTAAAGATATTGTATCCATCTTCCATTTCATTTCTTTACCATTTGTTTTAGTTTCCTTTCGAGTATTCATTTCTCTATTACTAAGATTTTACTGCTCATGAAGTCCTCAGGCACTCATATTCTCATATTTTATGATGCAAAATGTGTCTTGAATTCTTTACATCAAAATTCCCAAAATTTGTCTATGCCAATGGTCTCAAACTCCTCCTACTCTTCATTCTGAAATTCACTTAAATTAGGGTTTTATTTTTGCAACTCTACTAAAGCTGTTTTTTTCCAAAGTCTCCAACAGTTGCTATCTTACAGTCATTGCCATTTTATCAGTCTGTTACTGAAACTTTTTCTCTGTTCTGTCTCTGACACTATGTTCTTGTTTTCCTACTGCTTTATTGGCTGCTTCTCCCTAGTCTCTGGCTGATTCCTTCCCTTCATGATCTAGTAATGTTGGAGTTTTTACAGCTATACTCACTCATGATGATCTTACCTATTTCTCATGGATCAAAATGCCGCTTGTATCTGGGAACTCCAACACTGTATCTTTAACTGCCTTCTTGACGTTTCCACATAGAAGTCTAATGGGCATCAAAATTAACACAGGCCAAACCCCAGCTTCCAATTACCATTCACACCCAAAATGTGTGTCAACCAAGATCTCTGTATCTCAGCTGATAAATCCTAGTCCAGGCTTCCACTTGTACAATTAGAAACAATTGAAGTCCACCTTGGTTCCTTTTTCCCTTATATCCTGCAATGAGACTGGTAGGAAATTTTCTTGGCCCACATTCAAATTATATTTGGAGTCTGACTTGCTCACCACCTCTATTGTGATAATCTTGCATTATCTGGATTGAAACAGCCATCTCTCTGCTTCCACCAGTGCTCTACAACCTGTACTTGGCACAATAGCCAAGTGAGCTGTGTTAAAAGTGTAAGGAGGGGAAAGGACCAAAAACCCTGTACAAAAATGGGAAAAGTACATGAACAGACAATTCACCGTAAAAGATACAAAAATGACCTTCAAACACGAAAGTGTTCAAAAGAATTCAAAATTAGATATGTGCAAGTTAAAACCACTCATACCATTTCTTATTGGTCAGACTGGAAAAGATTTAAGAATGACAGCATCTGCTTGCAAGGCTGTGAGGTTTGTTCATACATTGCTGATTGGACTGCAATGTGTTACAATTCTTTTGGAGGGAAATTTGGCAATGCCAAAATGACACATTGACCTTTCGATCAATTTAAGAATCTCCTGAAGACACGCCTCCAACAATGTGAAAAGGTATATTCAGAAGTTTGTTAATTACAATATTGTTTTCAGTTGCAAAGTATCGGAAACAACCTAAATTCCCATTCATAGGAGAATGGTTGAAAAATCATGGTATGTTCACAAAGTAGAATACTAAGTAGCTATAAGAAAAGAATAAGGAAGAGCTCTATGAACTGATACATAATGATCTCCAAGACATACTATAAAATGAAAAAAGCAAAGCACAAAGAGTCCACAGCATGCTACCCTTCGTAGAAAGAAAAAAATAGAATATACATAGATATCTTTATTTGTGCAAAAGAAATACAGGAAGGATAAATTTAAAAACCAATGAGACTGACTACTTAAGGGAAAGAGAAGAGAGGAATAGGTTAATATGGATGATGTAGAGTAATATTTCTCTGAACTTTACAGTCTTGCATACACTTCACGTAAATAAGTGATTAAAACTAACCAGGTAATGGGAAAGTCAAACTGGAATGCAAGTACAAATGAAAGTAAATGTATTACAAAAGAATAAAGTAATGACACTTAAGGAATGGAAAAGAAAATAACCTAAGTAACATAGAAAGTAGTATCTTCACGTGGTAGTAAAAAGCTAAAGACTTAAATGCTGTAATGTCAGTAAAAAAGTGTTTCTCACAGGAGTATGAATTAGCAAATCCTAAAACTACCTTTACCTGTAGATTAGAATTGGACCGTAATTTCATGTTTTATAGATAATGAGAGCCAGGTTCCTCACTGTTGGAGGAAGACATAGGGAAAGGAGGAAGGCTAAAATAAACCCTGTAGCATTGAATTAGACTAAGGAACATCAGTATAAACTCATGGTTTTTTTAAATTATACATTCAAACAGATTAAGAAATGTACATATGGCTGTATGGATGGATTAGAATATATTCATATATTTCCTTACTCTGTTCACTGAGAGGGCCTAACAGCAGTGATACTCCAGAACAGTGAGCACACCTAGCATCAGATCTTGGTTTCTAAACACCATAATCCAACATAAGGAACCAGGACTCTGGAGAAGTTGCTTCCACGGCAGGCTGGGGCAAGGAAAATACAAAGTGAGGCTAGATTATCTTGTGATTTCAGAAGGTAAGGAAATGCTTCTAAAAAAGATGGAAGCTTACCAAAAACAGAGGAGCTGATCTGAAAGATCTAGTGTCCAAAGATGGAATAATTTAACAACAATAAATAATAATGGTATTTTACTTTAATCCTTAGAATAAAATATACCCAGTGAGTCTATACCAATATAAAAATCATACATATGGTGGAGAAGGGACAGCTCTTCTTTACAGTAGAATTCCAATTAATAAATATAAATGGAAAGGGGAAATAGAGAATCATCACTGCAAATGCCCCAGTAATAGCTTTTGCAGACAAGAATCACCAATGAATACTAAAATGAGTGACACAAGTTTAAGAAAGGATTTGCTGTCTTAAAATATCTCCCCAAAGATACTTAGTACCTATAAAGAAAGACAGTAACTCTAGAGTGGAGAAACCTAGCAGGCACCAAGCTATCCAAATGATCAAGGTAAATATCACCAATAATAAGATGTCAATATCATGAAGCCCTTGATATAAATACAGAGAGGAAGACTGTGTGTGTGGTAGCCTTTCCAAAAATACAAAACCTTTCTCTTACAGGCTGAATGTTTGTGTCACTACTAAACGTTGTATGTTGAAGCCCTAACCCCGCAGTTTTGCTCTAAGGCAGTAATTGAGGTTAAATGAGATCAGAAGGATGGGGCCCTGATCCAATAGGATTAGTGTCCTCTCAGATGAGTCATTAGAGTGTCCCTACCACCACCACCACCACCATCGTGAATGCACTGAAAAACTAGCATTTGACATCGAAGAAAGGCCATGAGAGGAGAGAACATAGAATACAGCCATCTGCACACCAGGAAGAGAGCTCTCACCAGAAACCAAATCAGCTAGAACGTTGATCTTGGACTTTCAGCCTCCAAAATGATGAGAAAGCGATTTATGTTGTTTATTCCCTCCAGTCTGTGGTATTTTGTTGTAGCAGCCCAAACTGACTGATTTTCTCCAAGCATGAGAAAATATCCGATGAACCCAAATTGAGAGGCATTTTACAAAATGACTGATTAGTATTCTTTCAAAGTCTCAGCGTCATAAAAGATGAAGAAAAGAGTGAAGAGCTGTTGCAGACCGCAAGAGAGGAGGGAATAAAAGAAGACTTACACATGATATAGGGCTTAGAATGAGATTCTGGAACAGAAAAAAAAAAGTGAAAAAAAGTGAAATTTGAATAAAGTCTGTATTTTAGTTAAATAGTATTGTACCAATGTTATTTTCCTGTCCTTGATGTAAAGTGTTAGCATTAAGGGAAATGGGATAAAGGATATAAGCAAAAAAAAAAAAAAAAAAAAAAAGCAACCATTATTGCAATTTTTCTAAGTCTAAAATTAGATCAAAATGAAATGTTTAAATACAAAAGAAAGCTTAAAAATGTAAATGAGAACATTCCCTCTCCTGTTTTAAACCCTCTAGTGGCTTTCTATCTCACTCAAAGTCAATGCCAAATAACA